GACAAAAACGATTTCTGAGCATCCAGAGAAACGACCAGAGAAATCATCAAGAAGATGCTGGCTGCTGGCTGGTGGCTGGTGGCATTCGAGGTCTCTTTACTTCGGCTTCACGACCATGCTTCTCAGTGGCGTCTGATGCAAGCGACATGGCGTCTGCCAGAGAACAAAGCTTGCCATTGCCTCCCAGCTCAGTCCTCCTGCGCTGTCCCGGACATCCCGATGGCCGATGTCCAGTGGGAACTCGAGGAAGGATGCATCCCCTGCCTTGGCCCCAAGTACCCTGGTTTAGCGGTTTCGAGGTCCCCAGGACGGTCAGAACTGGGTAGTGAAGCCTTGTACAGCAGCGGTACACTCGTACAGCCAGAGTTCCTGCTTCCGACTGCGTTTCAAACTTAAAGCGCAAACATTCCCAGCACTCGTCTTGACATCCCTTCTTCTTGCCTTCCCCCCCTGTCGAAGGCCAGTTTAAGAAACTCCTACATCTACATGAAGCTTCGACCTGAAGCTTAAGTTCCCGACCCCAAGCCCCAAAAACCCAAACCCTCCATAACCCGCCGCAATCCTCCGCAATCCTCTGCAGTTTAGAGGAGCTCGGCCCCTGGCCATCAGCAGCCCTGCCACGCCAGCCAGAAAGGCGTGGAGGCCCTGCGCTTGGGAGGATGAAGGGAACTCAAACCACTGCGAAAGCTCATACATGAAAGCCGCGACCCTCCGAGGCCCCAAAAGCTCAAGCTCAAACCTGCCCTGGGGCTTCCTTTACGCTTTTCAGCCGCACTTGTGGGCATGCTTAGGAGAGTTTAGGAGAGCTGCAGGAGTAAGGGGAACTCAGGGGCTTGAAGGGGCTTCAGGGGCCTTGCCTCGTTGCAAGCGCGCAGAAGTGGACGCAGCCTGCACTGCTGTGGAGACTTGGAGCTTTGCGGCACTTCACGTCGCAGATGGAGGTCTAGGAGGGTTTCGTGACTTAGTGAGGGGTGGGGGTGCTGGTGTGAGGCTGTGCCATGAATGCTCTTCGGGCGAGAATTGCGCAGACGTGACGGGATCAAGTTTCAGTTGGGGCATTGGGGTTTCGGCACCGCTGTGGTCTTGAGCTCCGAGAAGCCTGAAATCCAAAAGACCAGGAATGCCTCTCCGGTGCTTCGGCCGAAAGGCACCGCACTGTGTCCTTGGCCAAGCATCGCGCGCTTTACGTCAGGGCCTTGATCGTAGGGTGGGTTTAGGGGATCGGCGGCAGGCATCGGCAGATTCTTTAAAGCTGTTAGTAGACCCCAATTGTACAGATCCACATTACAGGCACAGTGACCACTGAATCCGAAAAAGCTTGAATGACTTGCCCAGGCTTGGGAGCCAGCCAGCACTTCGCAAACAGGTGCCAGAAACGGCAAGAGCGAGGGCCTGAGGCTACAGGTCCAAGGCCATGAGCCGGGAGCTGAATGTGGTCACGGGATGGGTAGCCTGATGACAAAGTGCAGCTAGATCTTCAGTGCCCTCAAGAGCGTCGGTCGAGTCATTTGAGGCCCAAGATTGCCTATACTAGACCTACACCATGCTTGTGGGATTGTACACCCTACCACAAGACACACGACTACCAAGGATATGCGATTGGATCCCAAGTCGAGCACAAAGACTGCGGCTCTCGTTGCGGCAAAACCTGCGGGCACATGCAAACAACTTCTCTAAATTCCTTTTAAGACCTCAACACCAGACCTCGTGCTCTTCTCCTGCTTTAAGCCCCTAGGATGGCCCTCTCATGCCGACGCACGCCAAGCAAAAGGTCCTAGACACCACAATGCAAAAAGCTACTCACAACGAAGGTTTCCTAAGTGACAGCTACACCCGATGAGCGATCTAAACCTACTTGCGCACAAAGGGCCGAACGCTGCCGGTTGAGTGTTGGGTCTGCAGATTCTCTCTGCATCCTGTCACTGTGCGCTTCTCTGGGAATGACAAACCTTCGGCAGCTCTGGGGACACCGCCGCCAACAGTTGAGATAGCACGGGCAGCAGCTGAGTGAAGCAGGGTTGCCTAGGGCTCAGAAGGGTGGGACACGGAGTTCAGGGCTTCACTTTGGCAGCTGAAAGGGCTTTGGAGCAACGTTTTGGAGAGGATTTCGTGGAGCCTTTGACGGCTTATGTCCTCGAGAGAAAAGTTTTCATAGTAGTCCCACTATAGCGCCAGGCGGGGAAATGGAAGCCAATAACAAGAACGCAACAGAAACCTGCTCAGCAACAGGGGCGACCTGTAAACGGAACCGAGTGCGGCTGCGCAAGTGCGGTTTTAGCTACAAGCTGGGCATTTGCAACAATTGAGCTGGGGACAGAAGCCAGCCAGCTGCCTCCTGCTTGAGAGACAGTTTCGACTCTCGACAAGTGCTCTACATCAGGTTGTGCCTGCGGGGTCACGTTGTATGCAACAATCCACGGCAGAACAAGCACCGATGGTGAGCAGGACGTTGCGGCAGCCCGCCTGCTTCGCGTCGCCTCGCAACTGGAGCGGAGCACCCGAAAATCCGAAGTTGCAAATTTCGAGCTTCAGGGGTGGTCCTAGGTTCCGTGCAAAAGAAACCAGGCGACCTCTTGCATCCCGCACCCTGACACTCCCGTGAACTCCTCCCCGGTACGGGGCACCGCCGCTCCAGCGCCACAGAAAGGCCAAAGCAACGAAAGGGCGCAGGGTAGATGAGCGTTCCGGGATTGTTTTGGGTTTGGTCCAACCCAAAACAGGTCTCTGTGCTTCTGCGTTTTCAGGTTTCACGCTATTTGAGGTGCATTCAAGGTGCAGGGATTTGGGGAGGGGCTGCTACACTAACCAGCGGACCCTGGCCCGAATCCTTCATAAATCCACAACCTCGAATGACCAGAAAGTCGCTTAGAGCCTTGGAGCACGTGGCACTGATACAAAAAAATTCTCAAGTTGGCCCGTTGCCCCCCGCCCAGCGTCTGCTTCTGCACATTCCCACATGCTTGGCTGCTACAGAGTTGGGCGGCCGCATCCCTACGCCTGACTCCTACTTACGACCCCCTACCCCCGTTATACATTAATTTCCTGGGTTTAACAGGCCAGGAGAAATGCATAACGAACCCTAAAGACATGTGATCGTTTTTTGCCTTTGTGCTCTTCGGTCGCCAGTCATCACTGAAAAGGCCGTTCCCCCCATGGGCCTTTCAGGCTTGAGTTGGGAAGAGCACCTAAAATGTCACAGCTTGAACCCCTGCAACATCGGCAACTCCAACATCAACATAACCACCACCCTCGTTATACATTTTTGCCTTGGTGGACCGATTCTCTCCCGAAGTACAGGTACCCTCGTTATACATTAATTGGGCGTGGGGATGCGGCCGCGTTTCGGGGAGGTTTTCAAGGCTGAGGCATGCATGGGAGGCCCATGAAACGTTCATGAGACGCCCAGCCTTTGCAAAGGTCGCCGACTTGCTTCAGGACGTATGACACCTGAGCTGCCGTCGAGCACCACATGGCGGGGAGCACACTGCATAGGCCAAGACTAGCTATGAAAACTCCAAACACCCCCAAAGTAGCTGCAGGTGAGGAGGAGCTCACACGGCAGCAGAGCATGGAAGAGGCTCAAGCCATGGCTTTTTCAAGATTGAGGTTTAGGCTTTGGGGCTTGCCGCATAGCTATATTTGTGGAGGGCGAAGGATGGAAAGAGGGCTGGAAGGAGGGACGTGTATTTGGTCATTGCTTCTGATCCTTCTGATCTTGGAGCTGTCCAACTGGATGAAATCCCGGAAACGGCCAAAAGGCCTGGGCCCTGTGGACCCCTTCAACACACTGACCAGGCCCCGGCGAAGTTCAGGAACTGGTCAGCGCCGGCTGCAAAAGCGTTCAGGGCCAGCCGCAGAAAGACTCTACCTCGCACAAGTTGGTTGTGGGCCCCAGTTTCCCCCAGTTTCTGGGTTGGTTACATCTCGAAGTTTAAGGCTCAGGGTTCGGGGCTTGATTCGGGGGCTTGAGGAAGACGAGTACGAAGATTGATTTTGGAGCTTCAACGAAATCGAAAATTGGGTTAGAACCAAGGGTCAGGGGTGTTGGATGTTTGCTTCCAAAACACACCCAGCTCAGAAATACTTACGCATTGAAAGCTTGGGTCTGAAACTAACAGTTCTTGACCTCGGCCTTGCTATGGATATACATCCACCCCACCCCCCCACCCCCCAAGAGTCTTGGGACGGAAAACCGTGGAATACCTCCCATGGCTCCGAACAGGATCCCCTACCTCATGCAGGTGTCAGCCTCTCTTTGACCGACCGCAACTTCAAGAGTGGAGTCTGAATCAGTCTGAAAGGCGACGGTTCGCAAAGAGACGGCTTCAGAAACAAATGGAGTCAACAGCGCCTGCCCACCTTCAAATAGCAACAAGTTGGTTACAGGACCTTTGGGCCAGCAAGATCCGGCTCCTGGGTCTTGGATGTGAAGTTTAGCACTGTAGGGTGTGGGGGCTACCAGCTCAAGTTCTGGAATGAGAATATGCCTTCGTTGCGATGGAGTGCACGCTTCTCTGAAAGCCAGCTCTCCGCGCGCATGCCATTAATGCAGCGCAAGGGAACAAATCACTCTGGTGAAGGGCTACTGGTAAGGTTGAAGTCGTACACATGCTTAACATTTTCGAACGTGCAGTTGACCGTCACAAGGTGGAGATCATCAGATGTACTGCGGGATCTAAGTCCGAGAAGTGAACTGGCTAAATTGTTTTGCTGTTCCTGTCGGTACTAGCGGCATGTTCGGGGACTCGGTAGATTTGTTCCTCACGCGACGCGGTCCTACTGTCAACTGAGAAACGGTTAAACGACCTCTCTTCGGAAACAGGCTGTCCGGGAGTAGGTTGCCCAACGACCCTGGATTGCAGCAGGGACTCAATTTCCAGTTCTTGTTGAGAACTCCCTTGCGTTTTGGGTACTTGTGCGAGAGGCTGAACTACACCCCTCCAGCCTGGCGAGACTTGCATTTACATACGCCTGCCAATCAACGAGTGTTCCTGCGGCGCTCATGGACCGGCAGCGTAGCCTTAGCTGATTTTGCGGCTCGGCCAAACCCGCGAGTCAAAACCTCCCCCCCCCCGCCCCCCCCCCCCCCCCCCCCCCCCCCCGACATCGTGAGAGAAGGCCCCGCGTTCTGCAGGCCCAGCGGCTCGATCGGCATTGGGGGCACGAATTCCCGGCTTTTGAAGTCGCCAGTGCCCAGGAGGTGATACACTCCTGCTGAGCTAAGGCAGCTAAGGTTTGGGTTGTGGAGACATGGGACTTGGGACCAGATTCTTCGCCAGCAAGTCCTTGATTTGGCGTGGTTGGAAGCTTCGAATTGTATGATTTGGATTCTACCGGGGTGTTCATGTTTCGGGCGAAAGGTTTGAGGCTCGGTCGGCTTAGTCTCCTCGTGGAAGATGTGACCGCAGGGGAGCACGGCGATGCTGCTCGTGCCCTGGAAGTCCTCGAGGCAACAAAGGCAACCTCAGCGATGCTGGCGTGGTTCGTGATACTTCTTTCTAGTCTTGCTCTGTACTTCTTCTGTCTCTTCTCTCAGGGCCTGGGAGGGTGCCCCCTTCCGCGCACCGGCGCGCCCCTAGGTCAGGTTTCTCTCTCACTCCAGAGCAGGCAGCTTGACTTTCTGAGAAGTGTTCAAGCTTTTTGATCGTGTCTTGGCGTGATGTCGCTGAGAGTTTGTTAATTGAGCTTTGCAACGACTGGAGGGCTTGAGGTTCGTCTACCAATCCGTTCAAGAGCCTCCATTGGCTTCAGACCGCCCGAAGCCAAAGCATGGAACCCAAGGCTGGTGGCCTCTCAGGCACAGAAGGGTAGAATCGTAGGAAACATGCACAAAACTTGGGCGAGAATTTTCGGCAAGTGGCTCTTGTCTTTCTTGATGCTCGGTGTGGGTATCATTGAAGCACACGCCGACCAAGACAGCTCGGCATCCGGTCCTTCACGCTTTGGGACTCATGACCTAAACCCCTGGCCCTAACGGTAGCGTCGGTGGCATTTTCGATTCATCCGCGATCTTTTTTTGCGACTTCACTCTTTGTCTGGGCCTGTCCCTCGGCCCGAAACCATGACGCTAAACCCCAAACCTTGAAACCCAGCCCCTGCATGGTCTACCAGTCTACTACTCAAATCGCGGCTCAGGGATTGTGGGACAAATATGCCAGAAGAACTCCAGAAGAAGCACGAAGCACACACAGCACTCCAGGCATCAAGTTCAATGAGTACGATCCAGGGTTGACCAGGCGGGTGGGTTCGGAATACAAGCCAGAATTGAACACCCACCCTACACCTTAAACCCTGAACCCTACCATAACCCCAAGTCCTAAACCCTAAACCCTAACCCTCCCCCTCCCTTCATTCCTACAACCGCCGTGCCTGAGATCGACACACGGCGAAACTCTGGGACCGATGACACCTGCTGCTCCGGCCCAGGGCTCAGGATGTAAGTATTTGGGGCATTCTGGATCTTAGAGCCTCAACCCGTGCACGCAGAGAGAAAAGCAAAAGCACAAAGGGAAGGTTTTCAGGTCAAGAGATGCCTCCAAGTCCTCGAACTTGTACGAGGCCCATGTTCCTTGCGTTCGAGGTGCTCTTGGGGCTTGGGAATAGGCTTGTGTTGTAATGAAACTTGTAGCAAAAATCCGTCAAGCCCTGAACCAACTGCACCCTCCATTTGCTCACATCTTGCTTTTGCCATCGCAGACTCAATCCAACTTAACGGCAGACCCGAGGATCCTGAGCATGTTAAACCAAGGCAAGCGTCGGCGGCATTCTTTCTTTGGCGGCTCCCTAGGTCCGGGCTCTACCTCAATGATGCCCTGGCTTCGCCTCAGTTGCTTCTTGGGGCAACTTTAAAGGAGTAAGAGTGAGAGTGAGAGTGAGAGTGAGAGTGAGAGAGAGTGACAGTGAGAGTGACAGTGAGAGTGAGAGTGAGAGTGAGAGTGAGAGTGAGAGTGAGAGTGAGAGTGAGAGTGAGAGTGAGAGTGAGAGTGAGAGTGAGAGTGAGAGTGAGAGTGAGAGTGAGAGAGAGAGAGAGAGTGAGAGAGAGAGAGAGGCAGAGAGAGAGAGAGAGACACGCACAGAGAGAGAGAGAGAGTGAGGGGAAACAGGCTTTGGTCAACAATAACGCAGAATGCCTCTACGGCTTCTTGAGCCACGCAATGTCTTAAATCAACCCGGCCTACAGCGTATCTCCTAGTATGCACTGTGAATGGAGACATGTCTTAGAGCCACAATAAACGGAACCCCACAACATCAATCCTGAGAAACCACACCAACTGCGGGCTTGAACCCCCAAAACAGGTTTGGGGGCTTGGAGCTTAGACTTTCAGGTGTCTGGGGTTTGCTCGGGGTGAGGACATTGTCAACTCGAGGAGCCTGAAGACGTAGCCAAGAAATGCCAGTATCACGACAGTGATGCTTAGGACTGCCATGACAGCCCAGCTCGACTTAAAATCGATGAGCAGGACCTGAAGATGTTCTGTTGAACTTTTGGTGAGTGCTGGAGAGCTTGGTTTTGGTTCAGGGTTTAGGAGACAATGCGGCCAATGCTTCAGGGTACGGTACTCCTTATCAGCCTTATCTGTATGCACCTGTCCACCGTCACTTCAAGACACCTACCTGGACCAGACTCACCATGCAGCATGCAGGGAAACACGAATTACTGGCTTGCGCTTTAGGGACTACCCTTGCTGTGGCGGCAACACACGTGCTTAGCGCAGGACAGTCCAACCACTCGCCCCTGAGCCTAAGCCCTGGACCTCAACCCTAAACCTCATGAGGGACCCTGAAGACCCAGAAACCTTAATGACCCCTTAACTCACAACATTCAACCCTCAACAGCCGGGGCTTGAAGGTTTTGTTGGGCTTGTAGGGTTGGGCTTAGGTTTTTTGAGGTTTAGGCTTCGTGTTCACGACTATGGATTCTTGGACATCGTCCTATGAAGCGTCAGCTTATCGGTGGCTTCATCGGTTGGCGCATCAAGAAAGAGCTCCAAGGCTGCATTTGTAGCGCTAGCCATGTTCAAAACCAGCGTCATGAATACCACCAGAATCTAGCAAGAGAGCTGGAGCATGTTCGAGTAGAGCTGCAGCATCGGTACATGGTCAAGGCTTCAAGGCGCGAGCCAACCCTTATACGCTCTAGACCTCACATCACAATATACCCAAGCTCCCCGCTAGGCTCCCCAAACTCTGGACTGGCGGCCATCAGTAGAGCTATCAGCGCCACTCCGAAGCCGATAATTCGCAGAATCGTGCCCTTGATGGCCCCGTCGCTCGCCATGACCCACAGCATGGCTAAGGACATGGCCACGAAGGAAGCTGAGCCCTAACTCCCACGGGGATGGGTTCTTCGGCTTGCTAGCTGGCCTATGTGTGCCGAACAGCCGGCGGCAACTGGGGGCACCCAAGAATCCCGGTAATGCCAGCTAAGAGGTTAAGAGGCTAAGAGGCCAAGAGGCCAAGAGGCTAAGAGGCTAAGAGGCTAGTTGTCGGATCAACATTCGCACCCTCGGCTTTGAAGCCACCTGAGCCACCCGCAAATCTATCTACAGCGCAAAGCTCCGCTTTGCGCTTCGAGCCGACAGGGAAACGGCAGAAGCTCAACCTCAACGCTATGGTCCCCTGAATTCGACGAACCTGTGCATCAGACTTGAATACGGAATGCCACTAGCGAACATTCCCTCAATGTTGAAAGTACGTCAGAACTCAGCAAGGTTCTCAACTTAACTTCTGGATACCAACGCTGAGAACTGCCGAACCAGGCTTTGGTTTCTTGGGGCTTCGGGCCAACGTTCTGAAGTTTCTAAAGCGTGGGACTGTTCCGAGCTTTGTATTTGAGGACAGGGTTCAGACATCCGCAACTGAATCCCCGACAGCCCCCGCTGCCCCAACGCCTCCCAAGGGGTCTCGGGATGCCAGGGACGCCATGGCTGCTGCCCCAGGAGGTGGCAACAGGACCTCGGCTCAGGATTTGGAGTCGCAGCAGGCAAGTGAGACCACAAACCCTCCAAGCCCCAAAGGCCCTGAAAACCTGCCCCTTGGTGCGAGGACCGGGCCGGCCGCTTGATGCCAAGAAGGTACAAGGCCAGGAGGTTTCCTAAAGGAGCCTTGGATTGGGCTTATGCAAAAAGGGGAAGGGGGTTGAGGGCTTAGGGCTGGACAGTTTGCGTGCAACCCTTACGTGTCAATGTGAGTTGCTGTGATGTATGCACTTCTGTCAGTTTTGGAATCCCAAGTGGAAGCGCTCAGCAGCTGCACGTCCAACAGGTTTCCGCCCCACACTTCTGACAGTATTCCAGGCTGGTGCAGCTTTTTTGGGGTCGACCTGAGAAGTCAAGAGGCGGTGATGGTCCTTGCCCCAGGCTGCCAAATGCTTAGGAAGACCTGCAAAGCTGATACGGCAGTGAAAGCGCGCTCGCTGTGAGACTCCAAAATCCTATGGCACACGGTGGCGGCTCACGTATCCAGCAACTGAAGGCATACGTGCTCCCAGCCAACATCCGCAGCACACAAATCCCCAAGCCCGAAACCCCAAGACCTCGACCCGGAAACACGGGTACAAAGGTTTCCTTCACTCTGAGCCAACCCCTAAGATCCCAAAGGTCTAGGGAACCTGGAGAGCATCTTCGGGCCCTCCGAAGACCACTCCGACCTGACAAGCCACGGCATCCAACGTGTCATCCCCCGAATCATCCCGAATCTAAGTCATCAGAAGAGCTCCGGCCACTCACAGCACCACTTCTGGGAACTGGAACGTGCTAACGGTCGGAGCTGCCAGGGTAGTTTGATCCTGTTTTTACTTTGTAGGTCACCCCTGCCACCCCCGAAAACAAAACCTCACTGGTGGCGAAGCTCGGCCCTCACCCCTACTCCCGAAGCCAACATATGCACGTACATGCACACACACACAGCCAAAGACACCCTGATACACTAGGAGCCCAGAAAAATTGCCGAGCTCAGGCAATTCTTGTGTATGCCCGATGGCAGCTGTTGCGCCCAAGGTTTAAAATCCCTTCCATTCTTTTGCTTGGAAGCCTTCAACGCAGACTCCAAAAGCCAAAAGGGCCAAACAGCGTTGAGGGCTCAAAGGACAGACAGGCTTCCAACCAGCACTCACCTGAAAACCCTCAAGCTTTCAACGCACTCTCGCTTCAGGCCCCCGACACCGAGAGCGGAGATCACCGCGAGAGCAGCTTCCTACAAGGAGAAGGAAAATGGGGGATTTCTTGTGGCTGCCTGAACCCCAAACCCCCAAACCCCCTGAGCCCTATAACGTGCCAAGTTTGAGAGCTCTACGCGAAATTGTGCAGCTGTGAATTTTCCCTTGCCTGTGCCGGTCGTAGGGCGTGGTCCTGCAAGAGCAGAGAGCGAAAGCAGCCCCAAACGTGACATTTCCCTCCTAGTCTGTGCGCAAACTGGGAGTAAACTGTAGGAGAACTAGATGTCTGGTGAGTTCAGGTTCATACAGTTCGAGCAAGTCTTTTTGCGGATCAAACCGGAGCCACAGAAATCGCTTGGAACGAATACAACACGATCACTTCCAGCAAAACTACTTCTGCCTCTGCGTGTGTCTTTCCACTCCACTTCCTCCTATCAATGCTAGTTACCAGATGCACCCAGAGCAGCACTCCCACTACGAGCGACTGCAACGTCGGCATCAACAACCACAAAGCTCGAGCGCTCGAGACTACGGCTAAGGCTGCTAAGGGTTCTCCACGCTGCTCATCTTCGCACCTCGGCACGCTCTATGACGATGAACCGGATGGCATTGGCCAGCTGCACGTGACTGCCGCGGAGCCTGGAGATCGGCGTGCTTAGGGCCGGCTATGAGTACAGTCGAGCACTGTGGTGTTACGTTCAACAGTTCAACAACGAGTGACCCATCTTGATCTTGAAAGTTCTGAATGCCAGAGATCTGCCTGCCGGCTATGCATTCCAGATGCCCTGGGTTGTGCCTTTGGATTGGGGCGAGCTTCGCTCTGGGACTTTTTGATTCTGCGAGGCTTCTTCGCCCCGCCCGCTCGGGTTTTGGAACTTTTCGAGGCTTCGAACTTTCGCCGGGAGCCCGAACTCGGCACTGGAGGCAGCTTGGACTGTGGCGAGGAGTACCTGGCAGGAATAGCCGGTAGAAATACACTGAGTGTCTGAATGGGTCATCCAAAAGCGCCAAACTTTTGAAACCAACAGATGGAGAGACGAAGCTGCAAGGGATCGGACAATAATTATATCTTCAGGGAGTGGGTATTGAGGAGTAGTGAGGGTCGGCCGAAGTTAGTGTTTCGGGCCTTCAGGGCGAGCTGAGCAAGCCGAGCGCGGCCCTCGTCATCATGTGGCCACTTTAACTGGGAGGGGAGGAGGGGGGCCTTGCGAACAGCTTGGGCTGCGCAACTCCCTTGAGGCTTCATGCGTTTTGAGCCTTCGTGTTTCAGAATTCGTGTCCCGTACAAAATGCGTGGATAGGATGCCCAAACAGTTTGAAGCTAATTGGTCCCAAGGCAGGGGCCAAACCCTCAACACTCTCTCAAACCCTCAGAAGGGGCACCTGGAGGGCAGTGGCGATGCCTTGGCACGGCGTGTGGCCTGAGAGTGCTTTCGGATCCTTACTGCCCTTGAGCCTCTTCAAGAGTGAAAGGGATCTCAAGCTAACTCTCAAAGCCCTGGTAACTGCCCCTCTCGTCCACCCCTCATGAAGAGTCAAACATCGCAGCCGCACCTGAGCCTTCTTTCGGAGCGTCGCCCTGCGCAGCTCCATTCCAGGAAGGGCTTTAGAGCGCAGGGTTTGGGCTTAGCGGCTTCAAGGGGGACTTTCCGTTGGCCGTGGCACGCGCGGTGCATTTCCGCAGTCCCACTGCAAGAAGCCATACTTGGAAGAGAAATTCTGCTTCTTGCAGGAGATGAGGCTCTCGCCGCCACGAATTTTCATATTTCTGAAGTGAAGGGCTCTGTATCACTGCCCTGTACCGCATCGGCACCTTTCCCACACTGAGACTGGGGGCGTGGCAGGTCCGGTTCGGATCATGTTCAAGTACTTCTCAAGAACCATGAGCCTGTCTACAGCTGCCACGCTTCGGGTTTGGGGGAGAGTTTTGGATTGAGGAGGGTGCCCCCCCTGAATTTCAGCTGCAATTTGGTCGGCCATACCCTCAATTCCGAGTCTGAAGCCTTAGCAGTCGCCATTCCTCCGCCTGAAAACGAAGCCCTAGATCCGGAAATCGCAGCCCGAGATCAGGGCGCAAGACTTGAGAATCTCGGCTAGATATTCTCAAAAAGGTTATGAGGATGGGCAGCGCCTGTCCAGAAGCTCCTTCAAAGGTCCCCTGTTAACTGTTGAAGGGTTTGATCCGAGCCCAGACCAAACAAAAACTGCACCCACGTTGCCCGGGACCCTGCCTTGATTCCGCAGTGGTTTGTCTTCGGCATTACAGACTCTGACGTGAAAGTGGTCGCAACAGCTGAAGCTTAAAGCCCACTGATTCTCTGCCCAGCGCGCCAGCGACTGGCAGCGGCAGCAGAGGCATCCAAGGCGAAGGCATCCTGCTTCTCTTCAGGATTGTCATATTAATGTGCAAGTGCTGCGTTCCAAGCACTGGGGATCTGGCAAGGTGCATACCGGAACATGAACGTGATCAAAGTAGCAGAGAGGTGCTGCGCAAAACGACAACGTCCGGGCAAGCCAGGCTGCTTGTCGAAGGATGCTTTTCAGCATGTCTTTACGAAAATGGCGCCAAAACGGGCAAAGGCAACAAAACAAACTCAACCTGCTTCAGGCACTCAAAGCCGCACGCCAACATTCCAAAGCAGAAAAAGACGGTGGGCCCTCAAACCCTGCATGCGACCCTGCGCTGGGGCTGAACTCGATCTGGAAGCTGAGGATGAAACTGGGGGTCGTAGCCCTGAAGACTAGACCTTTCAACCTTGAACGAAACATTGCACGCAGTCCCGCTGGCTGCTTCGGCCACGCCATCCGCTGCTACAGCGGAGAAGCCGCACCTACCAGGCATGAAAGGCTCGGCTTTCAGGATTTGTTGGGTATGGGGCTCGGGCTTGGGGCTTAATTGGCCCGAAAGCAATCCACGGCAACCTTCCGAGGGTCGAAACCCGAAAGCTTCGGTTGGGGTTCAGGATTGGTTGCGTCCTGCATCCCGCAGTTCAGGTGCTGCCCTCTGACGTGATTTCTATTTCAGGGGAGGAGGAAATGTAGAGGACTCCGAGGTTGGAAGGCTTGGACTGCCCCAGGGCACACGCGTGCGCGTGCCGTGGTAGTTGAAGATCACGGGGTAGAAGGAGCGCCTGGCAGAATGCCCC